GTGGACAGCAGGAAGGGCAAAAGTGTGGAGAGTAGAAGTACTGAGGAGGATCTGTGTTAGATAAGTGATTCTCAAGGCAGGGTGCTTGCACAAGCATCATCAACATCACCTGGGAACTTGTTCATAATGCAGATTCTCCAGCCCAACTCCAGACCTATGAATCAGAATCTCTACAGATGAAATGTAGCACTCTGGGTTTTAGTGACCTCTGTAGGTGTTTCAGAAGCATGTTAACATTGGAGAACCACTGGAGTAGAGGTTTTATTTTTATTTTTATTTTTGAGACTAAATCTCGCTCTTGTCCCCCAGGCTGGAGTGCAGTGGCACGATCTCGGCTCACTGCAACCTCTGCCTCCTGGGTTCAAGTGATTCTCCTGACTCAACCTCCTGAGTAGCTGGGATTACAGAAGCCTGTTCCCATGCTGGGCTAATTTTCATATTTTTAGTAGAGATGGGGTTTCACCGTGTTGTCCAGGCTGGTTTCGAACTACTGATATTAGGTGATCCTCCTACCTTAGCCTCCCAAAGTAATGGGATTACAGGCATGAGCCACTGCTCCTGGCCTAGAGTTGTTTTTTTATCAGCTATAATAGCCAGGCTTCTAATATGCCCAACTTTAAACTGATTTTCTAGTTTCTTTTTTAAGAAATGAGAGATAAAAAGTGAGTAAGTACTTTCTCTTAGTGAATGCTTTAGGGCCTTATTAGAGCTAATCAGTCATGAGAAGCTGGTCATGCTGCTGCACGTAGATGTTCCACTTTTGCCCAGAATAAGTCATCTCTGATTTTAGTCTGAATTTTATTAGTTCCAATTGTTTTAATGAACCACCCTACAGTTATTCTGCATATGGCCTAATTAGGTTATGTAGGGCCTTTGATCCTGTATGTGGTTCATGATCAGTGGTAGAGGAAGATGTGGACCTTTAGCTTTAACACGATTTAAAAGGGAATAGTTAACATTTGACTAGATCCAATTAACTAGTTAAAACTATGCAGGACTTAAAGAGTAAAAAGAAGTTTGAACTAAAAAAAGTGAAAGCAGCTCAGCTGTTAATCCAGCTGGGAGAATAGGCTCAGATAAAGCCAGCTGCAATGATCACAGATAATGCCATTTCTCCCAAGGTCATGCTCTAGCTGGAAAATGGCATAACTCCCTCTTGAGTGACAAGAAACAGCAGCTGGCACAGGACTGATCCCGCTTCCTCACACCCTCAATCAGAGTCTACAGTGAAAGCTCAGACTGTACAAATCTCCTCCTTCTCAACCTAATTAAAATAAAGAGCTTCTGCACAGCTAAAGAAACTACTGGGAATAAGCAGACAACCCACAAAATGGGAGAAAATATTCACAAACTATGCATCCAATGAAGGTCTAATATCCAAGATCTATAAGGAACTTAATGGAATGAGCAAAAAACAAGTAACTCCATTAAAAAAATGGGCAAAAGACATGAACAGATACTTCCCAAAAGAAGACATACAAGTGGCCAACAAACATATGAGAAAATGCTCAACATCGTGGATCAGAAAAATGCAAATCAAAACCACAATGGAACACCATCTCACACCAATCAGAATGGCTATTATTTAAACAAAGTCAAAAAAACCAACAGATGCTGATGAAGCTGTGGAGAAAGGAAACACTTACACACTGTCGGTGAGAATGTACATTAGCACAGCCACTGTGGAAAGCAGTTTGGAGATTTCTCAAAGAACTAAGCAAAGCTACCATTGAGCCCAGCAATCTCATTACTGGGTATATACCCTAAAGGAAACAAATTATTCTACCAAAAAGACACATGCACTCACATGTTCATTGCTGTGCTGTTCACAATAATAAAAACATGAAATAAACCTGCATGTCCATTAATGGTGGACTGGATTTAAAAATCCTATGGTACATATGCCCCATGGAATACTATACAGTCATAAATAAGTATGAAATCATGTCCTTTGCAGCAACAGAGATGCAGTCGGTGACCATAATACTAAGCAATTTAATGCAGGAACAGAAACCAAATGTCACATGTTCTCACTTGTAAGTGGGAGCTAAACATCAGGTATACATGGACATAAAGATGGTAACAATAGAAACTGGGGACTACTGGAAGAGGGAAGGAGGGGGCGAGGGTTGAAAAAACTATTGGGAACAGTGTTCAGTACCTGGGTGACTGAATCATTTGTACCCCAAACCTCAGCATCATGCGAGGTACCCATGTAACAAACTTGCACATATATCACTGAATTGAAAATAAAAGTAGGAAAAAAAAAAAACAAATCTTCTCCGTCTTACCAAATAGCAATTTTCTAGCTCCTCCAGAGTGGCCGCCCTCAATGCATTAAATTGAAAAGTACTGTTTTGCTGGACTACAGGCTGACCCCGATGGCCTTCATCTGCTTAAACTTTAGGAGAAGGAAAATAACCCCTTTGTCCTCTATTTGAAGAAGGGGGTAGTGGTGATGTTTTTTGTTAGTATGTTTGTTTTTAATATATTTATTTGACCTGATGACCAATTTTAGATCCCAGGTCACAGAAAGGAACTCAGAGGTCTCGATTCTTGGTGCAACCATTTGTGAGCTACAGAAACATATCTTCAAACAATGTCTGTCTGTGACGGATGACTCCCTTTTCTGAAGACTACATTTTCAATAATTCCTTCTTATTTCATTTCAGATAAGTCCCTACCTTCACATCCCCACATTGTTAGGTATTTTCTTGTAACGATTCCCCCCCAAAGACCAAATATTCTCAGCCATGAATCAAGGACAGTAATCTTTCATTTAATCAAATTACCATCTCTGAAATTATTAATAATACTAATATTCTCCACCTAAGGAGCTTGCATGGATATTTAAGGCAAACTGTTTTTAAGAGCTTTGTGACTTGATTAATTAGTCTGTCTGAATTATTAAGCTAGTATATTACTTCAGCAACTCAAATGTGGACTAGGCACTCATTTTCACATGTTCATCTCTTCATCCACTCAAAGATTCATCAAGAACCTGGCGAACACTATCAAGGTGAACACTGTTCTAAGTCCTCAGAACTTAAAGATGAATTAGATGCAGCCCTTGTCTTCAAGAGGCTTGCCCTGAGGTTGGACAGAGAGCCAGTGGGCACCAGTGAAATGAAGGGGTGAAAGGCACTGTTGGTGAGATCAAGAAGTCCAAGGCTATAGTGTCAGCAGTGTATCCACAGGTCATGGAGGCTAACCTGGATGGCACAGGCCATGAAGACAGTCAGGCCATGAACAAATTGCCACATCATTCAAGAAAAGAGGTGGTACAGCCAGGATGGCTGTAGATGACTGAACTGAGGAGATACAGGATGGATTAACCAGAAGAAATGATCACTTTTCCTCTTTCGACAAGAAAGTAGACATTTAGGGGAGGATGAAGGACACTTGGTCTGGAAATACTTAAGGCAGTGAGGAAGATAGATCTCCCTTAAAGGCATACTGGAGACTGGGCAGCCTCTCCAACCCCAGCTCCTTCCCAGGGAAGTTTTTAGGGAGACTTCCTCCTGGTCTGAGGGTGGTAGAGGAGAGGGAGGCAGTGGGAGGGTGGTAGGGGATGCCAGGGCAGTACAGTACTAATCTTCTTTTCAGTGCAGGCTATGGCAGCTGGCAGCATGTTCAGTGACCATGTCCCAGGGTACTGCATGGATCCATGGGGTAGGTCTGCTCTGAGGAATCCCAGTGACTGAGGTGCTCAGCCAGGCTGTCAGCCTGAGCTCCCAGTAGTGCTTGGCTAGGTGGAGTGCTGAGTCTGCCACGGGCAAGGCCTTGGAAGCTGGAATGCTCTGCCTAAAGCCCTGATGTGGCTCTGAAACCCTGGAGTGTTCTAGCTGCCCTGCCAGGGATGTGACCTGCATCTTCCTTAGTGCCAATCCAAGCCATTCTCCTGTTTGGCAGCAATCCACAGGGCCTCATAGAAATTCAATTTGTAGTTATTAATTACCTGCTATGTGTTGAGCAGGTGTTAAGAACTCTGTGCACTGTACTGACCTAGAATGTTGGGATTCCTGCTGTCATGGTGTTTAAATGTGTGGAAATGAAGACAGACATTAGATAGGGAATTATAAGAGTAGTGGGGGGATATGAGTAAAATCCAGGTTACCAGAGGAAAACATCCAGGGAAATCAACCTTGTGTGGGTCCACAGAGCTTCTGCTGAGAATCTCTTCCTCACTAAGCTGGAGTAGAGAATTGCAGCCCCAGCACCATGGCCCCCCTCCCCATGGTGCCATGGTGGAAGGGGGAAGAAGGGCTCATTCATAAATGAGTCACTCACATACTCAGGATCCAAAATAATTTCTTTTTGTTTTTGAGACAGAGTCTTGCTCTGTCGCCCAGTCCGGAATGCAGTGGCGTGATCTCATTCAATGCAACCTTGCCTCCTGGCTTCAAGCAGCTTATGCCTCAGCCTCCCAAGTAGCTGGGATTACAGGTGACTGCCACCACACCTGGGTAATTTTTGTATTTTTAGTAGAGACAGATTTCACCATGTTGCCCAGGCTGTTCTTGAACTCCTGATCTCAGGTGATGCACCCGCCTCAGTCTCCCAAAGTGCTGGGATTACAGGTGTGACCCACTGTGCCTGGCCCCTTCTCGTCCTTTCTGAGAACAGTCACAGGGATGTTCAGAAATGGAATCTCTTGACTGCTCAGCTTGTGTTTCCTCACATAGGACCTCTTCAGCAGACATGGCCCTTCACTCCGCTTCGTGCAGCAGCTCCACATCACACCTCCAACTCTTCTTGGTATGGTATGGACTGTTTATTTGTAATTTGACATGAAGTTTGAAGAATAAATAAAAATTAAAGTTTCTGATATTAAAGCTCTTAAAAAAAAGTGGGAGGAATGGCGAGATGGCGCTTTGGTGTACGCTAGCTAAGGTGGGTGGGTGCACTGGGATCTCTGCCCTCGGAGACTCCAGCTGACTGCCACACCGGAGGGACACGCGGCCAGACCTGCGACCTGCGACCTGCGACCTGCGACCTCCGCCCTCCCCCGCGGCGCCAGCCTCTGGAATCTGGCATTGCCCCCACCTCGCCAGTCGAAGTGGGAGTCCCGATTGGCGGGGCCTCGCCGCCATACCCAGGCCGAATGGCGGTTGGGAGGGAAGTCGGCAGAGCTTGGCCTCAGCATCCGCGCCCCTGTGGAAGGACGGCAGAGGGGAGCCATTTCACCAGCCTCTCTTCTTCTGGGGTCTCGGGAAACACGCGGTTTCACTAGTTCCAGGCGTCTGCAGAAAGATTTGAAACAGAAGATGATGGCCACTCCGAACCAGACTGCCTGTAATGCAGAGTCACCAGCAGCCCTGGAGGAGGCCAAGACATCTGGTGCCCCAGGGAGCCCCCAAACACCCCCTGAGCATCATGACCCTGGTGGTTCCCTGCCCCTGACACCCCGGATGGAGAGCCACTCAGAAGATGAAGATCTTGCTGGGGCTGTTGGAGGCCTGGGCTGGAACAGTAGGAGTCCCTGGACCCAGAGCTCAGGGGGCTGCTTAGCTGAGGCCGTACTGGCCCGGAAGAAACACCGTCCGCGGCCGTCGAAGCGCAGAAGGCACTGGCGGCCCTACCTGGAGCTGAGCTGGGCTGAGAAACAACAACGGGATGAGAGGCAGAGCCAGAGGGCGTCCCGGGTCCGAGAGCAGATGTTCGCCAAAGGCCAGCCCGTGGCCCCCTGCAACACCACCCAGTTCCTGATGAATGACCAAGACCCGGAAGAGCTCAACTTGGATGTGCCCCCTGGGGTCTCCCACCCAGGTTCCAGTGGGGAGAGTGAGGCCGGGGACAGTGACGGACGGGGCCAAGTGCACGGTGAGTTCCAGCAGAGGGACTTCTCTGAGGCTTACGAGCGCTTCCGCACCGAGAGCCTGCATGGTCGCAGCAAGCAGGAGCTGGTGCGAGACTACCTGGAGCTGGAGAAGCGGTTGTCGCAGGCCAAGGAGGAGAGCAGGAGGCTGCAGCAGCTGCAGGCATGCACAGGCCAGCAGTCCTGCCGCCAGGTGGAGGAGCTGGCCGCCGAGGTCGAGAGGCTCCGGACCGAGAACCAGAGGCTTCGGCAGGAGAACCAGATGTGGAACCGAGAAAGCTGCCGCTGTGACGAGGAGCCGGGTACCTAGGGGTGCCCCGGAGCCTGGTGGACACAAGGAGAAGGTCTTATTTCATGCACACTCAGGTCAGCTGGGTCTCAAGGAGGCAGGTGGCAGATGAAAACCACCCTCAACATCCTGTGCCCCCTGAGAACGGCTAAGTCGATTCAGACTCCCACCTCACCATTTTCACAGTTGGTTCTTCCGTGTCAACCTGTTTTTTACAGAGAAATTAAATGGTCTTGGTGGGACCACAAAAAAGTTTTATTTTCGTTTTGTTTTGTTTTGTTTTGTTTTGTTTTTTCTTGCAGGAACAGTGGTTTATTGACCAGACAGGCCTCCCCAGCCCGGCCACTGCTCCCCGAGGGGGCTGGAGCTCTGTGGGCTGGCCCTGGCAGAAGGCAGACAATCCTCTAGGTCCAAGGACATGCGGGTCACGGAGGTAGGGACTTGGGCCCACACATCCGAGGAGAGTTCCCGACAGTTCCCGGCAGCTTTCTCAGGCAGGTATCAGATTCGGCCCACACCCTAGGCGGGGCTGGGAGGCACCTGGCCCACATCCAGCAGCTCTGAAGTGTGGGGTGAAAAAAGGTGAATCTGTGTGAGGATGGGGTTGGCTGCAGCTGTGGTGATGGCCTGGAGGGGCGAGGGTCCCTGGAGGCCGCAGCTGGGGTGCTTGGAGGCCAAGGGTGGGTTCGAGGGTGCTAGGCAGGGCGATGGAAGAAGCTGCCAGTTCGGAGCCGCCACAAGAGCACCAGCCACAGCAGCTCCCGCTCCTGATGGGCGTCCTTCATGACGCTGCTGTTCTCCAGGGCCCGGCGGGACAGGTAGGGCAGCACGTCCATCACCAGACCCTAGGGCACATACTTGTACACGGGGTAGCCTGCCTGGCCCAGCAGGAAACTGATCTGGTCACACATGCCTAGCAGCTGGCCAAAATACACCTGGTGGCCAGCGGGATGCAGGCACAGCTCCTCCATCCTGGGCAGCCTGAAGCGCACTGGGTCCTCGTTGTGGGTGGCCACCATCACCTTGGCCTTGGCATTGTGCTTCAGCTCCTCCAACACGTGGTCCAGACACCTGTGGTACATGGCATTGGTGGCCTCGTACGTGGGGTTCATGGGGTCCTCATAGCCGATCTCTGCCTCACGGGCTCGCTCCTGGGCCATGTATGCGCCCCACACCAGGGTGGAACCAAAACACCAGCCCTCACGGCGAGCCAGCTCCACATCCAGGGTCACATTGTCATAGGAATCCTTGAGGTAGCACTGGTGCGTGCTGAAGATGAGTGGCCTCTCTACGTTGAATCTGCGCTGCATCTCTAGCGTCAGGCAGCTGATGGCTGGCTGGAAGTAGGTCTGCTCAGCCTCCACCATCAGCCGCACACCCACCTCTGTCGCTTTCTTGGCCAGGACGTCCATCCGCTGCAGCATCCTCGTCATCTGCAGCTCCTCCTCCTTAGTAAACTGGGACAGCAGGGGCTCCAGCTATCGGTCTGTGTGGTAGGGACCACCAGGTGCTTGGAGAGCTTGGTCCTGCTGTCGATGAGGCTGCTCCAGTCCAGCAGATCCATGGTGCCAGACAATCCCAGGATCTCTGACATGAACCAGTCCTCAATCTCAGCCCTGGATGCGATGCCCATCTTTGCGACGCTTTCCTGCAGCACCGCCACCTCCAGCTTGGTGTCCATGGCAGCCAGGCCCGCCGCTCCGTAGCCATTTGGTGAAAGAAGTATCTCCACTTGGTCAGCATGTCTGAGAACTGCAGCAGAAACTGGGGTCTCTCCAGTAGCGTGAGCTTAATGGCTAAGAAGCCATTGTCGCTGGCTGCACCTGAGGCCTTGATGCGGTGCAATAATGTCTCCATATAGCTGTTGCACTTGGCTTCGTTGGCATAGAAGTAGGTGTGGGGTAATGACGCCATCTCTGTGGTCTCTGAAGGCCCGGTGGGCTTCTGTAGACTCTCTCTCTTCCTCTTCTGAGCAGCCTGGTCTGCAGAATTCTGCTCCTCTCCCTATTCCCTGGTTTTAGTAGACAGTCATTTTGTTCCATCAGATTCTACTCAGATGAGGTGGAGAGGGACCACTGTGTATCCTGCTGGTAGGGTGCCTACCAGCCACTTGAGGGCCTTTTGTATTACCCACATGCTCCTGTAACTATATCACAAGATCATTTCCATGCTAAAGGATCCTTTCCCCTTCCTCAGTGTTGAGATCCGTGCTAGTCATCTGGTAACCCACCAAAACCCTTTCTCTTCTTCTAAATCAATGTAACAGGGTTGTAGTTGGACATGGCCACCCAGGGTGGACATTTCCTGAGTGTGGTCCTATTGCTGATTTATCTCCATGGGAAGGAAGTAATATTTGCCCTTTCTAGGTCTGGGCCTTAAAGCGCTCTGAATGCATGTCAGCAAGCTGGAGCACAGACTGGTGTGGCAATCACAATACAGGGTAGAATCTGGCAATGATTTCCAGGGCCCTGCACTTCTGAATGGCTTAAAGAATAGAGCTGCTCCACCCTTCTGGATGGTCTACATACAGACTGTAAGCTAGAGAGAAAAACTTATTTGTTCTTTTTTTTTTTTTTTTTTGAGATAGAGTTTTGCTCTTGTTGCCCAGGCTGGAGTGCAATGGCACGATCTCAGCTCACTGAAACTTCTGCCTCCCAGGTTCAAGCAATTCTCCTGCCTCAGCCTCCTGAGTAGCTGGGATTATAGGCATACACCACCATGCCCGGCTAATTTTGTATTTTTAGTAGAGACGGGGTTTCTCCATGTTGGTCAGGCTGGTCTCAAACTCCCGACCTCAGGTAATCCATCTGCCTTGGCCTCCCAAAGTGCTGGAATTACACGCATGAGCCACCGCGCCTAGCCTTTGTTCTTTAACCCTCAATGTTATTGGATCTTTTGTTCTGGATAATACAAGTCTTACCAAAATGTCTCTGTATTCTAGCGGAGTGAGAGTGTAACAGAAAAACCACCATCCCATCTTGAAGAGCAATTCTTCTTTTTCTTTTTTTTTTCCCACTTCATTTTATGCTGGGCTTTTTATGTCCAGCATTAAATGAATAGAATAGCAAAGCTATTTATATGCTCTGCTTAAAGAACTTCAGGAACTGGTCTTGAAGAATGAAGCACAGAATTAAGGTTGCAGAATATTCCACCCTGGGAAGAATGCTGAGCAGTTAACGCGTATTCCTGTTGCAGTCAAGCTGGTGCCAGACGGATCAGCAGATGGTTCATTGCTTAAGATGGTCATCGAGACTAGACATACTAACCCACATATAGTCAACCCATGCACATAGCTCCTCCATATCATCCCTCCCATAAAAACCCTCTGGCCAGCTTGAAAAACTTGAGATGGCCTTCGTGACACTAGTCCACCATCTCTTCAGGTTGTCAGCTCCTGAATAAACCTGCTTTTCCTCTCACCAACTTTTGTCTCTTGAGTTTGCCTTTTGAGTGGTGAGCAGCCAAACTTGGATTCAGTTATAAGAGAGGAACCTATCCCCTGATAAAAAGGCACACTTTATATTGCTGTCCATCATCTTAGTGCCAATCAAGGGTAAGATATGACTCTTCTGTAGCTCTCCTTCCCACAAACTCTTCTCACTCTTCTTTGCCTGCTTAAGGTCCTGGTTGCAAATGGGAATGCTTCCCTCAGCCACCTCCCCTTCTGAGTCTGCAGCCACATGGTGTACCGGCTTGCTGCCCAGTGCCCCAGCATCCACATTGCTGCCATGCACTGAAAGCTTCCTCCCCTGAGCTTTGCTTTATTAGAACAATTTCCTAAGTTTTATTGCACCAACATCCAGAAGACAGAGATGAACTGTCTAAATAAAATAACTCCTACCACCTTTTCCTTCAGTTTCTATTGATTGTGACTTAATCTCTTGAGGCAAGTTGATGGGCTTAATATTAAACTGAAATACCAAGAGTTAGCAAAGGAATCAGAGAATTGAGAGCAAATAAAATTGTCCACAAGTGGAATTTTTCCAACTCTCCAAAGGGGTTGGTTCAGGCCATGTATGTTTGTTTTCTTTATCTTACACTAGATAAATACTTTTAGAAAGACTCAGGAAGCCAGACTGAAACTCTCAGCAAAAGTGGAGGAGGGTCCCTGCTTAACCTCCCCCAAAGATGCTGCCCACCAGGGTTTCTTTTCAGCTCCACATCAGACTCCACCCTGGCTTTATTGGCTCTGGCAAACCCTTGCCTTGTGCTCTTACACAAGACACATCACCTCCGCCTAACTAGTCAAAGATTCAGATGATAGGGATTGTGACCTTGTGAATTCACATCCAACTGGGTCTTGTACCCTCATCTCATCGGATTGCTGGGCCCAGCCCAGGGATAATTCTGTGCCCCTGGGAGACAGTCTAGATGGTGACAAGCTAAAGATATTGAAGCCAGTTGGACCTGGGTTTGAAGTCTGTCTCTGACATTTAGTGAAAGACCTTGAGCAAGTATTTAATTTCTGTAAGTGTAAGTTTTCTCATCCCCTAGGGACAATACTCCCACTATGCAGAGACTGACTAGCTGTCTGCCTACTTGGCCTCTCCTTCCAGGCCACACAGGTAGATTGCACTTTCAGCTTCCTTTGCAGTCAGACATGGTTATATGACTGTGTTCTAGTAAAAGAAATAGCCTGGTCCATAAAAATTCTCTTTCCTGGCATACTGTCATTTCTCCCCATCCACTCACAAAACAGTTGAGGACTCACTGGCTTTTGAGCCCGTCTTGGGCAGAGCCTATAAGGCAAAAGGAACCAGACTTGGAATAACCAGAAATGCCTGCAGTGGACTGTGTGAGTGATGGGGCACGTCACTCAGATCCCCAGGTTTATGTGGTGGCATATCACAGTTTTACAAGTGATAGAAATTGAGGGTGGCGAAGGAGGTTCAATAATTTAACTGAGGTCTGACAGCCAGGATTAAACCTAGGCATTCTGACTCCAGAGCTAAGGGTACACACAGATGAGTTGCACAGCAGGAATGGGAGGGAGCAAAAGGTCCGCTCTTGTTCACTGTGCCACACAACTCCTGGAAAATTGTGTATTAACTGCATTGGTATGAATATAATTCTATATATTCTATTTGAGCTGCTTTCAAAAGGAATCCTCAGTCTACAGAAAGATTCAAAGAAGGTAGAAACTGCCCCCAAACAAGGTGCCTCTGAAAATTCATGGTAAGGCTGGTTCAAGGCCAGTCTTGGTTTTGGAATGAGAGAGGTTCTCTGGGGTGCGATGTTTGGGGCAAGGAGTGGCCAGGGCCTGTACCTCAAAACAACTCTTCCAAGAGATGTGCCTACATTCCCTAAAGTCCAGAAATGTTGCTTTGATATACTCAAGAGCCCAGGGGTACCCTGTTAAAATACAATTTCTAGAATGAATTATTAAACAGTGCATTTTTGAATAAATGGAAATAAGAAAAGTGATCACTAGAGGTCAGTTTGGTTCCTGGGAACAGTCCCACTATTTTTA